GCTTGGCAGCCAATGCGGGCACCAGTGGAGCAGGTGTGGGAGCTATTGAGGGTGTAGACATTATTACGGATGAGGAGACTCCGTATATCTCAGGAAAGCGATCTGGATGGACATTAGTGGGATATTTATGGAAAATGAACAAGGTGGAGGAGAATGGTGGGTGGCATCGGAGGAAGGTGGACGGAGCAGGGAAAGGAAGAGACTAACTTTTGGTGGTGTCACTTGGGAAGGTTCGGGCGGGAGAGCGGAAGTGCACGCATCAGCGTTAGAGGGAAGGGAGTAAATGAGCTCAATGAAGTCAAGAGACTCTCGGCTGGATTTTGCTTTTCCTCTCGGCAGCCAGAATATATGAGTAGTTTCGGTTTAACTGATGGGAAAAATAAAAGAAACCAATCGAGTTACTGGGGGGAATAGAAGAGAGCGAGCAAAAGCCGAGGAGAGAGGAGTCGGAAGAGTAGGGGAGAGAACGAAAGAGGAAAAGAAGGCGAATAAAAGAGAATCGGATCAGATTAGATTATCGTGCGCGTCTTCCCGGTTTCGGCGGTGCATTTACTTAGTACAACCAGCTTAGTTAGGGTATGTGACGATCACCATGAGTCCACTTGGTCCATACAGGGTGCTCTGCTTTTACGAATATCTCTCTTGCGGCAGCGGGGTTAGAATGGCCTTGTACTCAGTAAATAACTCAGTGAGTTGATATTGTTCGTTGAGATTGAACTACGATGTGGCATTAGACAGCATATACCTCTCTACATCAATATATCAATATTTCACGGGCTTCCTTACCTCGAAGGAATATTATAGAATTATCTCATTCAAAAACTGCTGCGTCCTCACTTTTCTTCGAGTCCATGACAAACTTTTATCAGATTCCCCACAGTTGCGAACCGTGTTGACTCTTAAGGAACGGTACTCCAGTCTGGGACTAAGTAACCATGTCCAGGCAGAACTTTCGGCCTTTGGTGGGTGGTGATACCCCTCCCGGTGCGGAATGATTTGTCAATCGTCTGCTTCCAGTAGAAGAGGCAGTAATGAGCTCATTTCTCTGAGTAGACCAAGTTGACTGCTATGCTCAGCAGCAACACAATTCTTATCTCGCTTCAATTTTACTCAACTCTGGAATTCCCCCTTTGCAAAGTATGCAGAAAAGTAGCAATCATCAAGGCTTCAGACGCGCACAGCAACTACCGTAGCAATGGAAAATTTAGAGAACTACCAATCACAACTCCATCTGATAAGAAGTTTTGTAACAGCATCCACAGTGACTCTCTGCTGGGTGAGCGAATAATGAGCAAACTCCGGCGGTCGATGACATATGATTTGACCCGGCAACTGATGATCCCACCATCATCTGATCTTATCTGATCCCGCCTTACTTGTTTTGGTTCCTTCGGCTATATTCTCATTTACCCAACGTCTTGCTGACCATTTGGTTGAGTAAAAATCTATGACCGTTTCTAAATCTAGTATGAAGGAAAGAGTTTTCGGTCGGTCTCCTAATCATTCCCTGGCTGTGGTTCTCCTTCCGTGGTTATCAGCCCTGGAATGCCGATCAGCGGAAGACGAAATGGCGAAACCCGGGCCGGATTACTGCTGCTGCTAGAGTCTATCATAGGTGCATTGTCTGTAGTTACATGCCGACTTGCAGTAGTATGAGCGGTTCATAGACATTACATTATCCAGTATTACAGTTTTAAGTAATCGGACAGAACCTTTTGCTTCAAAAATAGTCACTTCATAACTGACAAAACGCCATCCCATAGCATCGAATCATCGACCCAAGACAATTACAACCTCCCCAATTCTCCTAAATAATACAATTTATCTGCACCTTCCTTAAAGCGGCTCAAATAATCTCCAGCAATACAGGATAGGACGTGCCCTTTACAATACTGTCAGACTCGGAGATCCCGCGGCTGGAGGCGCGGAGAATCTGGTTTGCACAAAGATCTTTTGCATGCCCTCCTCTCGCTTGTCAAATAGCGCGTAGACTTTCTCCATGTCCTCCAGGCGCACGCGGTGCGTGACCATGTACAGGGGGTTGATTTCACCCTTTTGGATGAGCTCCAACAGATGCTTCCAGTACTTTTGCACTGGTGCCTGGCCGTTACCAATCAAGCGAACACCCGTCTGCATCATAGCACCCACGTTGAAGTGATTGGTCTGCAATAAGTCGTTAATCTGGGGCAATCTCACTATCGTGGAGGACAATGTGACTTACGTAGCCAGCATAGACGCCGGTGACGCCCACTCGCCCAAAAGGCCGGACAGATGTGATCATCTCGTTCAAGATCTCCGATGTGTCCGTCTCCATTCCCAGGAGGGTCTCAAAGTAATGCAGCCATCCCTTGGCATATTCGCCGGCGGCGCACTCAAGAGCCACGTCCGGGCCGCCGTGGACCCTCTTCTTCAATTCCGAGGTCACCGACTCTCCCCTTGGCAATTTGGTAAAGTCCAGAGTCTCGACCTTGGGGATCTTGGACTTGACAAAGTCGAGTCTCCAAGCACCCTCGCCACCGTCGATGAGGATCACTCTGCTGGCACCTTGGTCGAAGCTGAATTTGGCACACATCTGTCCAATGGGGCCTGCACCCCAGATTGCAACAACGTCACCTTTGTCCACTCCTGTATCGGTGACGCAGTGATACGAGGTGGCCACAACATCAGATAGATAAAGGCCCTTCTCAAATGGAACATCATCCGGAAGCTGCAGCAAGTTGACGTCTCCTACTGGCACACGAACATACTCCGCCTGACCTCCCGCAAAACCAGCAGTGAAATGGCTGTATCCAAATATGCCTGCAGCAAGCAGAATCAGTGAGTAATACTTCTTTGGGAGTCGGATCGCTCCGCGGGGGTCACTAACCGGCAGTTCGCTTGCCATACAATGCGTTTGCAATGCTATTGGAGTTTGTCCGTTCGCACGCCGAAGTCAGCTGCTTCTTGCAGTTCATGCAGTCCCCACAAGCGATTGGGAAGGCGGCCACCACACGATCGCCGGTTTTGATATTCTTGACACCAGGTCCCACGCTTTCAACTACACCACAGAACTCATGTCCAAGAACATCGCCTTTTTCAAGTTCGGGAATGACGCCTATGACATGGGGGTTAGTAATGCGCGTCTTGCCCAGAGTGTGTTGCGGCTATGGTGGCCACAAATCATACCATGATATAAATGGAGATCGCTTCCACAAATTGTGCTTCCCGTCACCTTGACGATGACATCGGATTCGTCAATCACTCTAGGTTTAGGCATTTCGACTGTTGGTAAGGATGTCAGAGAGAAGTAATACACTGCGCACGATCCTGGAGAACCCACCAACTTTGATGTTGTTTTTTCCTTGCCAGGTTGTCGCCTTGATTCTGGCCCCCGTCTCCTGTCCATATTCGTTCTTGGCATAATTGCTCACATCAGTCGTGACAGCTGCATTGTCTCCATGTCCAATGACCTTCTCCACGAGCCCTGCAGCTTGAGAGGCGGCCATGTCGAGTTCCAATCACGTGAAGTTGTTCAAGATTGATTCTCTAGCTTCGATGTATAGTCAGATATATGCTGTAGATGAGACGATCGATTCCTTTCCATCATGATAAAGAAAGTCTGTTGCATTGCAGTCTTCTTATATGAGTTGATCGTGGCACTGACATCACCCCTCCGTCACAGCCGGGGGCCAACCTGGATTTCCTGAAACGAAGGACCGTTGAAATGCATGACTTAAAAAAAGTGATCGATCGAGTCTCGAGCGCCATTCAATTGGCATGGTCTGCATGACTCGTGATTAGTTCTGGTTGAGCGACGATAGTATTGTTATCCGTACGAAGTACTTCGACCATGATGTTCCAAGACTTCTCCAACGGTAAGCGATGTCGATCATAACTACGGGATAAGACATCTGCGTCACCAGACAATCATCATTCTTCGCGATGTTGTCCCGAACAGACTTCAAGTTAAGCCTTGGAAAATATAGAACATTTTCGCATGTCGACCTGATCAATGTAACTAGTCCTTGTGCGATTAGGTTGTTCAATCAATAATTGATGAAAAGTCGCGCGACGGATATGATGGCGACCGTGTCCAGCGACTTGGCCTTTGTCTTGGCCTCGTCCACCGCATTGTCACCACTCACCAGAGAAGATACAAGATCTGAGATCTCACAATCTCCAGCAAAACAAGGCCACGCTCTGCTTAACAACATCAAAAGATTCCGTACGATGGTGATGCTGCGTTGTCGTCTATGCCATTGCGGTTTTCTTGAATAAATACCAAGTACCTCTCGAGACTGATCCGCTCCAAGACCCATTCTCGAAGACGCTTCTTATCTTGTGCATTCTTCGCAAGGTGGAATGGGACTATTCGATCTTTCTCTGGTAGTTTGCTCATCCTTTATCCCCAGATTCTTCATAATCGCGTGGTTCTCCATGCGCCATTGCCATGAAGAGACACCTTGATCGTCTTTTGCGTCACGTCCATACCAAAGAGAGACATCGGCAATCCGATCCTCTTCCCGTCCAAGGTAAGCAAGACTTTCATACATTCTTCCTCTCCTTGTCATGCCTGATAAGATTCACAATGTTTTGATTTTGATTGCGCCTTGATCAAGATGTTGTCGCGTATGTCTCTTTCAAAACACCCGAATGATTGCAGGTGGACTGCAGAAGCAAGTCGATTATGATATGATCAGTAGAGAATAGGCATCTTCCAGGATTGTACCAAAAATTGGCCGAATTCATTCACTTTATGAGCTGTTTGCGGGGACAACCTTCTCGAATCTGTTTTCTGCTTCCCGCTCTTCGATGCCTGGACTAGATTGAGACAGTTGGACGAAGTGAATACTTCAGGCTCTTCTTGGTCAATTCACCGTTGCCTTCTTCGTTCAGTCGTACTCAACAAGTTTCTTCTTGTCCTTCCTCTTTCCCCTTCTATCTACCCTTCTCTCTTTCTCTCTCTATCTGTGTTCCGATTCCTACGTCTTCGAGAATCTTGTCCCGTTTCCATCGCCAAGATGATTCTCAAGTACTTGGTTCTTATGCTGCTTGCAGTTTCCTCAGTCGTTTCTCAGTATCCTGTCGAAGAGCAGAGCGTCTTCGCCCATTTTATTGTGAGACTAGTCTCCTGGAGATTCATTAACTTGACATTGAGTACTGACGCTTCTAGGTTGGAAATGCGGCGGCCATGACACCCGCCCAATGGGAGGGGGACATCATAGAGGCTCAGAAGGCTCATATTGATGGCTTCGCATTGAACATCGCACCCCAGGACGACTACACTGATAGAGTGCTCCAAGTCGCATATGATGCCGCCGAGAGAGTGGGCAACTTTTCTCTGTTCCTCTCGTTCGACTACTTGTCCGGTGGACCATGGCCCGCAGATCGAGTGATAAACATCATCAACGCATTCAAGGATAGACCTGCACAGTTTTACTTCAGGGACAAGCCGTTGGTGTCAACCTTCGAGGGCGTAGGCAACACGGGTGACTGGCCAAATATCAAGGCAGCAACTGGATGCATGTTCATTCCGTGCTGGACGAGCCTGGGCCCAACGGGCATCGTCGGTGTCTCAGACATTATTGACGGTGCTTTCAGCTGGGACGCCTGGCCCGTCGGAGCCCAGGACAAGGACACAGCCAGTGATGAGGCATGGATGAACGCGCTTGCGGGGAAGCCGTATATGCTGCCCGTGGCCCCTTGGTTCTACACCAACCTCCCTCAGTGGCATAAGAATTGGCTATGGCGCGGTGATGACCTGTGGCATTACCGCTGGCGCCAGATCATGGATTTACAGCCGCCTATTGTCCAGGTAAATTCCCTTAGGTCGGATATGTTCATTGATCGCTTACTCTAACGATATATCGGCTCAGATCCTCAGTTGGAACGACTATGGAGAAGCACACTATATCGGACCGATCCATGAAGAGGGCGTGCCCGAGGGAGCTTTACGTTATGTCTCCGGGCATCCTCATGACGCGTGGCGCACCTTCTTGCCTCACTACATCGATGCATACAGACGGAACAGTCCAACATGCCAGCAAAGCTCCTGCAGATTTTCCACGCTTTCGAAAACTCAGTACCCCATCTCGTTTGCGGATAAGATCGTGTACTGGTACCGTTTGAACCCCAGTGGCTCGGGTAGCGCCGATGGAACCACTGGTAACAATCCGGCCATGGGCCAGCCCGCAATGCCTCCCCAAGAAATCGCTCAGGATCGAGTCTTTGTCAGTGTCTTTGTGCCGGAGCCGAGCCATGTATACGTCCAGATTGGGGAGAATCCTCCGTCAGTCCTTAGGGCACAAGCTTCAGTTATCAACCACTTTTCAGTGCCATTTAACGGACAGACGGGTCGTGTGAAATTTGCCATTGTCCGTGACCACGAGGAAAAGGCATCGGCCGTGGGACCAGCTATCACGAACCGGTGTAGACATAACAAGGTGGACTGGAACGCCTACGTGGGGTCGAGTGACTAGAGACTGGGACGCAGCAGTCGCAGGCAAATTTGCATATTCATGTCGATATTATGAATGATATTTTCTTCTCCCATTGGTTGTAGTCACTCCTTGACAGTCAACATAAAAATGGCGACTAACTGCCTTACCTACAAGCTTCGTCTGGGGTATAATTGTGAGATCTGGGGTCTTCTTGAAAGAGAGTACATCAGTGTAAAAAAAGCAGTGACTACTATGCTGAATATAAAAGTAGATCAGAAATACACATATGCTAATTATGAATAAGAGGTAGATGATATACTAAGAACAAGCCTAATGAACTGTTGAGTGACAGTCTGGAATACATCATAATCCTCAGGATAAAGCCAGGGTTGAAGACAGTTATACTCTCCCATGTTCTCATCTCCTTATTTATCACGTCCGCGAGCTCAACTTTGTAAGCTCTGAAACATACCTTTCATCTCCGTCAGGTGTTATTCAAGTCGAGCCTGGTATTTTGATCCCCCCCTCTCCTCTTCCCTTAGCACAAGAGGGGTTCCTCTACATGTCCGAAACACTGCAGTTCTACCTCACGAAGCTACACACTGGATTTGCCGGGCCCAAATTCCCCCAATTCATGGCATGTGAACCTCTGTATCTTGTGGCTAGTTTGGTGGAAAAGCGCGGATTCTATTGCTGCTTGTTGCAGTAATTGTTGCTCTAATTATCACTTTAGCAGGGGTTGCTGGCTGCGCTGGGCTGGGCGTTGTTTCTCTTATGATAGTAGCTTTTGCCCTCTTCTTGCTGCTACCGCTGCCTCCAGGCCAGCCCTGACTTCGACGTAAACAGCCCTCGGTACGGGCTGACAGATGTGACCCGGCACAGGCCAGACTGGTTTAGGCCAGACCGGGTGTGGAAGGGCGATATCTGCGCCGGCATCGACGAGCAAATGGACGATCTCAGAATGGCCCATCTCCATGGCTATCTGTACGACCCTGCCGCAGGAGAAGTTGGCTGGGATGGTCGAATCTCTGGTTTCATATGCATCGCCACGACGACCGCCTAGATCGTGGTACGCGGTATTGGGATCAGCCCCGTGTTCAAGGAGCAACGCTACCAGAGCCACGTTGCCTAGTCTAGCCGCCCGGACGAGAGGAGGCGTCAAGTCCTCTGCTTCTAGTCCTCGCGAAAGATTAGAGTCGTAGTCCCCAAAGAAGGGACGGGGCGGAAGAGGCCGATCGGATTCTTCAAAGTCACAGCGCACGCCATGTGCAAGCAGCGTCTTGGTGGTCGTGATGTCCTGCTGCTCCACTGCGAGAGCGAGGGCTCTGGTGCAGGAGACGCGGTCGGTTTTCTGTACAAGAATCTCAACCAGCCTCTGAGACTGTCTTTTCACTGCCTTGAGCAGCGCTGGTCCGTCTCGTGGGGAGATGGTGAAGTTCGCGTCAGCGCCCTTCTCCAGGAATAGATTAACGAGATCGAGCCTTTCGTGCTCGACGGCCCATTCGAGTGGTGTAACGGGTACTATGTCCCGAGTCTCTGGTCTCATCCCTATACCGTCGGGCGTTTGGTCATAGTCGAGAATCCGCACGTTCAGATTTGTACTGTATCTGAGGATTTCAGAAAACACATGCTGGCTGTATCCAGCTTCCAATGCAGCTGCGAGTGCTTCATGTTCAACTGCTGGGGGCGACATCTTGTCCCGCACTGCAGCTTTGGGTTTGGCCGTCACCCTTTCGTCAGTGAAACGATTCTTGAAGTAAAACTGTTGCTTTGTCGGCTCCCACATAAACTCCCATCCATCATCATCATCATCGTCCCCGCGATCCTGTGAGACTGAAGCATTCTTGTCTGCGGCGTGGCGTTTACTCTGGTCATTGACTGAACCTATTGGTATCCACAAAGGAAACTCAGTGGTGCCTATTTGCTCGTACACCTCTCCTTCAAATTCCCGTTGCTCCCGTTCCGGGCGTTTGAAGGGCTGGTATGTACAAGGCTCCCGCCAGAAGATCACTGCAGCGTCGTGGGGTTTGAAGGGGGTTGTATATCTCCGCTGGAGGCATTCATGCCACTTCACTGCGTGGAAGAATGGGTGGGCTTTCACTTCGGCGACTCCGTTTGCACCTAAGCGTTCTATAGGGTCTTTATCAATGAGCTTTGTTAAAATGTCCCTCGCAGTCGATGGCAGGCTTTCAGGTAACTGTAGGTCTTGGCCAAGGATCTTATACCGGCGCTCGCCGGCGTCCTTGTGGTAAAAAGGGAGTATGCCCGTCAACATTTCATAGAGAATGATCCCCAAAGCCCACCAATCCCCTGCCCGGGAAGCCCCTCGGTCGTCAAGAAGAGCCTCGGGGGCCGGATACTTGGGCGTGCCGGGCAAAATGTGATCTCCATCCCCCAATTCCAATGCGAAAAGGCCAGGCTTGCACAGACTGACATGGCCAGAGGAATCCAGGAGAATGTTCTCTGGCTCCAGAGAATTGAGAATGATATGCTTGTCTTCATGCAGGTATTCCAGTATGCAGACCAGCTCCGCCGCATAGAATCTCGCCTTGTGGACATTGAACTGCCGCTCTCGTTGCAAATGGTCAAAAAGGTATCCGCCGCTGGCCAGTGGCGAAAGTAGTTCCAGCGCCCCTTCAGAGGACCTGAAAGCGAATTTGAGCGGTGCAATGAAAGGGTGTTGGATGGCAGAGCGGAGGCTAAGGCTGGGTGCCATGTTAACAACGGCTGTATCCGCGTCAGATCCAGGAGCAGCAACAGCATGCACGGTGCCGATATCAACGGCCTTCATGCCGTAGCTTCGACCGGTGTCTTTCTTTTCAACATAGATGAGATCAAGACCACCAGAACTGTTCTCCCCGCGGACACTCCACACTTCCTGCGTCTTCAAGGGTGGAACCTCCTTCTGCGTGTAGGAAACCTCGACTTCCACTCTCCCCGTGCCATCCTGGACGTCCACCTTTTGCTTACCCGAACCTATCAGGAATGGGTTCAATCTGATCAGTCCAAGGTGGATGCTCTGGTTTTCGTATTCCCCCGACGGCGTCGAGGCATCAGAGTCGCTGGCCCTAACGAATAGGGATACCGTCAACTCGGAGGCCGGAGACGCAGAGAGGACGTCAAACTTGAATGGCCGGTGCCCTGCTGCCCATGAAACCGCTCCCTTGGCGGCGTAGATGGCCATCGCCTCTGTGGACAGCTGGAGCCCTTCATATTCTGCGATGGCGTACGCGCGCCATCGCCGCTCCCACATTTCGTCTTCCGGGTCTGGGTCGTCTGGGACTGGGAGGCTCAGGCCATAAGCCCAGCCGAGTTTAACAGTCAAGATTCCAGGACCAGTCTGGTCACCCCTACCATCATTGCTTTCACTTTTGTGGAGGGTCTCAGGCATTTGATTTTGTATTTGTTTTTATTTTGGAGGGGAGTTGTAGAGAGAGAGGCTAATGATGTCGAGAACCCGGTTGGGGGGGGTTAGTGTATATATATACACCCCCCCGTAGAGTATTGCACGTGATGTGCCCCCCTCCTAGGGGCTTTGGTAGTTTTAGGGGCAGTAACGAGAGAAATAATTCTACCGTAATAGGTACTTGGACCTGGTACTATACGCAGGTATTTGTAGAGGTGGACAGGGACCCGCGTGCTACTCATCAGTGCGCCTGGATTGCATACAAGTATTCATCGGGAACAAAGGCTACAAGCTATGGACATGGTACACTAGGACATATCTAGAACCATTTAGAGGTAACAAGGACTCCCTACTCACTACCTAAGCAGAAGTTGTCATCGGACTTGCACTTGTCCCCCCCCAGGTCATTGGCACATAGGTGGTCTTCGCCGTCCCAGACTGCATGTTGATAGCCTCATAGAAACTCTGGAACTCTTGCAGCTGTTCGTTTGTCCAGGACGGGAAGGCCGGCGTGTCCAGTGTCTTCCCGGTGCCTCGCGCATCTAGTCTGGCCCAATCATCGTCGTCGTCATCCTCCTCCTCCTCCTCGGCCTCGATGTCAACGTCAACGTCTCGCTTCGTCGGGCCAACCCCTCCCCCTTGGCACGAAATCTTCGGTCCGCCAGCCGATACGATGGCCCTCTCCACGCAGCCTGCCTTCATGAAGAAAGGCAAGTTGAAGTACACATACGCATAGTTGTCCGAGGTTGCCTCGTGGAAATCCCAGCCCGTCATAGCGCCGCACCCGCCCTCCTCGTTGTTCAGCGAGTCGCCGCCGTCTGAGACCCAGCCGTCGATATTGTAGATCTCGAACGTGTAGTAGAAGATGCTGTCCCAGAACATGCAGTCCGCAGTCGGTGTGGGAGTGGGCTTTTCCGTCGTGGTTGTCGTCGGCTGCGTGGTCGTTGTTGTCGTGGTGGTGGTGCTGAGGCCCCATGCGGAGCTGACCAGAGACATGACCTCAGCATCGAGGGATGAGAGGTCCGCCGCGCCGACAAAAGCTGTCGGGAAGGGGTCGTCGTCCATAGAGTCATACACAATCGTGTATTGGGCGCCTTCGTTATCAGGGTCCTCGTCGTCATCGTCGTCGTCGTCATCGTTGTTATTGTTGTCCCCTCCGCCACCGCCAGGAGGGCCAAATGCACCCGGGGGACAGAACGGGCAGTCAGGATTGCAGAACAGGAGGCCTAGATGGTGTGAAAGTCATGTTAGTTGCTAAGGTCATCACATGTAGAAGACAAAAAAAACAAACACAGCGACTCACAACGAGTGCCGCACCCAGGACACCCCGGTTCGGCCGTAGGGGTCGGTGGCTTGCCAGGTGTCCAGGAGGGTTTCTTGGAATTGAGCGCAGGGTCCGTCGACCCGGGTTCCGGCGTGGTCGTGGGGTGCGGGTTGGGGGTGACAGTGATGGGTGTCGGGGGCAAGGTCGTCCCGCCGATGACGGTGGTGCTTCCACCCAGAGTCCTCGTCTCAACCGGAGGCGAGTAGGTCGAGGAGCCCCAGATGATGGGGTCCAAGGAAATTGTCGTGGTCTTGGTGGCCCCGATGATAGAGGTGGTGCCGCTCAGTACGCTGAGAGAGAAACGAGGTG